CAACCAAAGACCGCAGTAAGCGGTCTACGGCCGTTTTTGAAACAAAGGTGCCTCATCTCAAAATTAGTGAATTTTAAGGAGCACGATCCACGGAGGAGTCGGGCACCGACAGCCAGCTGTGGCCCACGCGCTTTGGAAGCAACAGGCGAGACAAGCGGTGACTGGAAAGAGATCTGTAGCTGCGGGACCAAAGGCGGCCGCCCTCCAAGCCCTGCAACTCGGCAAAGTCCCTTCCCCGCCCCTCTCTGCCTGGCAGATGGCGAGGTGGAGGCAAGCGGCGTTGCTTGTGCAGGAGGGCTCCGACTGTGCAGCCCTGACCAAAGCAGCAGCTGATCAGCACCTGCGTTCTTCCCCCCAATTAGAGGCAATTAACACCTCCTGCTCATCCTTCCTTCTTTCGCCCAGCAAAAAATTCAGAAGCAACAGTTCCACTGCTTGCAGGACAGGCTTCCCCAGCAGCAGAGAAACAGATGACACTGTGCGCTGAAAAGTGGTAACGTCTTTTCTGGAACTGGGGGAAATCACACCAATCATTCCTGTCCAAAGAAATTCCCATCAGCAGCCAAGGAGATGCTTTGCAAAGGGAGCTAAAAAGATGAGCTGGAGCAGAGCATAGCACTCGCAGCACGGAAACGCAAGACCTGAAACACAGGTTCGCTGACGGCAGACCGAAGCGTGGTGAACCTGTGAGCAAAAGCCCTGACAACAGCCATCTTCTGCAGTCCTGCCACAGAAAGCCGAGAGATTTGCCACGTCTACTCCTTCTACTTCTGCAAACCTTGGCGCTCGCAAGGATAAACGTTAATTTTATTTTTGTAAGGAAAAAAGTTCTGCTCCGAAAGTTTTTCTGCTTCAATGAGAGAACCTGTGAAGGCAGACCCTCTTCATCAGGCCAAGGAGTGAGAAGGAAAGACCCAAACCACCGGCTGGTGGTAACTGCAGGGAGAGGAGAGGTCTGATTCACCAAGACTTAGCAGATGCAAGCAAACCAAAGTCTTCCCTCAGGAAGCAGGACACTTCTTAGGAAAGGGGCAGAAACCTTGTTTCTGAGCGTCAGCGTCCTTCCCAGAGCTGCAGCAGCAGGACGGAGATTGCCAGCGCAGAAAACGACTGCTGATGGCTGCAGTTCTCCACTGAGGTCCGGCGCTCTCCTTCAACAGCTCAGCTATCACCTGGTGTTCTTCCAGCGAAGCACAGCCGGCAAGAGCAGCTAAAGACCACGTAAAAGTGTCTGTACCAATTAAGGTCTCGACGGGCTGCCTTACAAAGGCCAGGAACGGTTGGCAGATACACCGGTGCCGGAATCAGAAAAGCCTCGGAGCAAACGGCTTGAACTCCTTGCGTAAAGCCTGTGTAAAGACTCGATGTCCTGCGGTACTCACTCTTGCTCTAACGTCTGTTAAAAGTTCAAGTCCTATTTGGCTCCACATCCAAAACAAGCCCCTAGGATACTTAATTAGCATAGATTCACTGATACATGGAAAATTATCAATTCGAGTTACAGCAAAACCTAAGCTCAACGCTACAGGTATTAAAAAACCAGCAGTTGCATCACGACGGCAAAATTCAAAATGGCTCTACTGCCACTCGGTTTCGCCGTGAAACCACACTCATGAAATAAAACCGTAAAGGTTTCAGTATTGTCATAGCTACCATAAGCCATGAAGGGCTGGAACCTGCTCATTTGCTAACAAAACAGGCTTTCAATGAAATGATCAGCGATGTAATACAGAACATTCACGACTGGATGATCCACAAATATGCGCTACAATAGGTCTGCAAGACTGAAGGCCAGAATAAAAACAAGTGATCCCACTTTAGCCACAAGTGATATTAGCATACTGACCCACAGTATTCTAATATAGAGCTATGTATCTATACCTAAGTCTATACCTAAACAGAGCAGTCAAAAGGCTTCTAAAATCGGAATAAGCAAAGGGTTTGGTGTGTCTAAGGGCAGGAAACACGGCACAATCAATTTTGCTGTATGTTACAGGACTACTGAAAGATTAAAGTGAAAAAAGGTATGACATTGTCTAAACAAATCTTCTAGCATTATTACTTTAAGTCTGTGCGACAGCGTGTGACTAATGTTCACTGGCAAAATTAAATTCAACTACAAAAATTTTGAGCTCTGATTATGGCAATTAGGGATTCTACACAGAGTGCAGCCTGCCCATTAACAGCCTACCCCTGCGGCATTTTCATATGAGAGTTTGTTACAGTCTTCCTAAAAGCAAGAATTTTTGCCCATAATTAGTATTTTTCCCCCATGTTAAATAAATCATAACGTTCTTGAAAACATTTTTTGTAACCAAGCAGGGCTTAAATCTTCAGAGATTCTTGTTCAAACACGAGTGGGGGTACACATTAGCGCTATCGGGCATTGACTGATCAGTTAATAATCACTTCTACCTCCGAAATCCACGGCTGGAAATCCACTGGGTTTATGCCATCTCCGACCACAACCAGGACATAGCTGGAGCATCACGTCTGCGAGGAATGGAGTTCCTCACCTTTTAGAATGGGATCTCTGGGTTTCAGCTCTGCGGTGGATGGGGCTGACTCGATCTAACCCTCATCTAACATGACATTGCGATATAAATAGTGTCTTACTTGCCTGCTTCAGAGGAACAATGTTAATCAAGAAAAGGTCAAATGGTTTTGACACAGGGGAAAAGAGCAAAAAAATCTTTTGTAATTTAATATTGCCCTTTTTTTTTTGGAAGACGGGAGACTCCAGGTGCTAGTCACATAGGAGGAATACAGAAGAGAAGACAAGGCATATTTGCCTAGTCTGCAGCAGCACAAAGCAATAATATTTCAATCATGTCTTAAGGCCCAGGAGGAACTCGTATTCCCCCAGCATCTCACGGATCTCCTCTTTCCGTGGAATCCTGCAAACTCCGTAGACGCGCTCTGCTCAAACCTGCCTCCTTTGGCAACGCAGAAGTTACAGCTGCGGGCAGGTCTAGGACGGATGTACTCGATACACCTGCTAGGCAATGTATATTTTCTTATTCCACCACACTTATTGCATTGATGCTTTCAATTAGCAAAGCATTAATAAACATGACTTTTGCCCATAGCTAGCCAAATTCATCTATTTTTAGCCGAACAGGAAAACACAGGTTTAAGTTTTTGAATACATTACACAACCTGAGGTTACGCTACTAACCCTCAGATAAGCACTACACAAACACCCACATGTATTTATTAAGGTTGCTTTCAAGCATTTTTCTTATCCTACAGAAAAGAAAGCAGCTCTCTTACAAAATCTGCATGCAAGGCAGGCTGGTATATTCATACTCAGTGGAACTAGAGAAATACATGCAGCTGGGAAGCGAAATTTCTCCAAATTACTACATGAAGGTGACCCAAAGCCCGAATTATTGCTAGCTTTTATTGCTTGCTTTTATTGCTTCCAGCGCACTGGTAATCTATGCACATGGCAATACTTCAGTGCTAACGGAAACCAGCAAACAAGGTCACGCGCGTGTCAAGACACTCGCTTCGCGCATTCTAAAAATACTGGTAGGTCCCGCTTGCTAGAACGGCACCGACCTTTCCTCGTGTCACCCGCGCTGCCTGTGCCCCTCGCTGGGTGTAGCCTGCACCTGCGGCTGACAGCACCCAGGGCGGAACACATCCTCCTCAGTGGAAATCCGGGTAATTGCGAAACTTGTTATCAACCGAATTAGAAAGGGAAATAAATTACAGCAAATTTCCCCTTGGGCCATCTTCTGCAGACTACAAAAGACTTCTAAGATATTCCAAACCAGCCCGTCTTTCCTGGGAAATACCACACATTGAAAAATAATTGTTTATCATTAAATTAAGTTACAGCATGTATGGTGAATGAGATAAATGGAGTATCTGACTCGACTGGAATTGTGTATTTGGTCCAGACCCTGTGATACACAGGCAGCTTGCAGGTTATTTTTTGCAAAAAATGTTTATGCAGTGACTTTAAGCCTTCAGGCTAACCATAACGTAGTGCAAAGGGCTACAGGAGAGAGCACGCAGCGGGTCCCCTCAGCTAGCCATCCTTTTCAGTCTAAAGAGGAAAATATGAGATGCAGCAGCAAAGACAACACAATGTATGTAACAGCAGTAGGCTATACAATCTGTACAGACAGAACGAAAGGCTCCAGCTATTATTCCAGTCTTAAAGCAAAACATCTCCTGGAGTCGTGACTCGCACAGGGATTTCGCTTTCCACGCTGCGCTGTGAAGGTGGAGCGCATCTCACCAACCACCGAACGCGGCGTGACGACCTGAACCGCGGCAACGCCAACAGACGTCCGAAGGGCGCACGATGCACTTTAAAAAAGCGGCTGCAGTGAAGTATCATTGCATGAAAACGCAGCGGAGGGAACAGCGTTCAGCAGAGCTCGCATCTTCTGGCATTTTGAACTCAAAGCAGACATTTTCCATCCTCACAAAAAGAATTAAATCATAAAATTTATGAATAATAGATCTTTCTTTGGACTTCTGAAGAGTTCCTAAAAATTCTGAGCACGTGAACCTTAGTTAGGAAGACTGAAATTGAGGATTTGAAAGAGAAATGAAGACGAGCTCCATGTTTATATAATAAAACAAAGCCCAGTGCCAAAGCTTGAGAAAAACAAGAAAATTCGATGGTTCTAACACTATACATTCAGGATTTGCATCTTCCAACTGCCATCTGGAATTCTGGTTTTTATTTTAAATGCATAATGAGGAAGTAAAGCAAGATAGCTTGTACCTTCATGTCCTCGGGCTTTTTTGTTCATTTGTTTGGTTTTAAAGAAGGAAAGCATACAGATAATGCCTGGTTATGATTACCGAGAAAGACCTAAAGAAAATGAGTTTTTCAAAATGCCCCATCCAAATGCATTAGCAATTAGAATCTCCTCAAGTTCCCATCAGTCTGTCAAAACAAGAAATAATCTTACAGCAGCTCTGACTAAAACTTTTAAAGACTGTCACATTGATTGAATTTCGAAGTATAGACTTACAAATTCGTAGTCTCCATCCTGCGGTACTTTCCAATCAGATGAATTTTTTGTCTGGCCAGACACATTCTTCCCAAAGCTATTGATTTGATTCTCCTTCTCCTTCTGCTCAAAATATTCAAGGAATGATGGTTTGGCCGGCTGCATCGTTTCATCCCTCCCTGGAAATATTAAAAATAAAAAAAAAAAAAAAACAGTTGTTTTGAAAAATATACTTTCTGTTATACTGCCTTACATCATGCCCAAAAGTGATCATCTTTTTTTTGCACACACTAAATCACATAGTGCTGCTAAAGTACTATTTTTTTGGCAGCTTTTCAAAGATAAAACTGACTCTACAGTGAGAAAACCGGGGAAGGGAAGCTTAAAACCCACCACCCGAGTGACTGCAATGCTGGAGGCCTCGGCCCTAGACCTGCAATCCAGCCATCACAGCACACCACCAGGTAACCGAGCTCCACACACTGAATGCTAGACCTAAACTGCTACCAACTAGAGAGGCTGGGATTTTTTCATCCCAGCCACGTTGCGTGCGCTGCAAAATATGCAAAGTTCCCAAACTAAACGGTGGTGTTTTACAAGCAGAAGCTCGTCTTTATGTTTATCAATGGGATAGTACAAAAGCGAGGCTTTCAAAGACCATGTCCACCGTAGAAACATCACGTAACTTGCCTTGGGTAGGAGTAGTCAAGTTCTACGTTTCTTGGGTAGAAAGGATTAATTACTTTGCAAAGCTGCTTTTTTTTTTTCTTTTTATAAACAGTCAGTTAGTAAGTTTTCAAGTTTACTGCCCTAGCTTTCTTTTTGTAAGTTAATTCCTCTGAACACACTTTCTTAGTGGAGTACTCAAATAAGCCAGATACATAGATTAACCATTCAATTCCAGACTGCATTTAAGAAACTTGGGGTAATAAGAAATGGGTAAGGGTACAAAGAGAGACAGAGGAGTCAAAATAACCCCCTAAATAGGAATACTTTGATTTTTAAGAGCGGGTCTCATAAGCCTCCCAAGCACCGTTCTCAATAACAAGGAGTTCACCCATACTGATGGGAGAAGGAAGGATACAGCCAAGAGCACAAAGCTTTAGCACAACCAGATTTACATTATTCTTATTTGTCTAAATTATTCTTTAGAACAAGCAGAAGTTAAAAGAAAAGGAAGAACACTGCTGATCCATTAAAAGCAACGAGCTAATAAAACTGCATTCTCATAGGGTGCCTAGGTCCGTTGGGTCGTTGGGGGGATCAGGGGTACGCGCACTCGTGCGTCCCTTCTTCCTTCAGCCATCACACCATCCGAATCTCTGCCCGCGTGATTTAAGTACCACTACATACAAGTAAACCTAGCAACCCGTTCAGCAAACAGGCTTCCACCACCGGAGGAAGAAAGGCAAGGTCCCAAGTTCCCAGCTGAGAGCGGATCCCCGGTGCTGTCTGCAGAGAGGAGGTGGGCTCCCGAAGAGAGGCAGCTTCAGCTGCAGGCTGACGGCAGCGCCATCGGGAAGGAACTGATGAAAAGCCAGAGGATGAAAATACTGATTCCTAGCAGAGACCACGTAAAAACCGATACAGGAAGAAAACACAAAATTTAATGTCACAGCAAGTCAAGACCGAGAGACCTTCACTATCTCCAAAGGAAGATTTCTTTACTAGTGCAACCGGCACAGCATCAGGTGTTGCTGACTACCCGGCCTGTCCTGTCGCTTACAGCACAGCTAATATCTTGTGAATATTATCTCAATCGAAACGAAGAGGCAGGCTCACACAGAAAACATGCTTTAACGGGGCTGCACCGCAAGACCACGGCAGCTGCAAACACGGCTCAATGCAGAAACCATCATTTTCAGAAAGCAGGACTAGGACTAGAGTTAACAGCAAATCAAAATAGCCTAATTCTGGACTGCGGAAATAAGTTCGCTGTTGAATGCCGTACACGCGAAATAAATATAATCTGTCAGGCAGGCCATCAGCCAAACGTTTAGAGCTTCAGACAAGCACAGAGGGGATGGAGCCGTCCTTTGAGGCGCTCGTGGGGCCTGCGTAACGCAGAGGCTCTCCTACAAGGGTCTGTGCCATCACAGGGCAGTCCTCGCTAAGGACGTTCCGCAGCGCTTTCCTCCTGAAAAAATAGTAGCTACTCTGGAAACCCATTAAGATTTAATCACCCAGTATTATTCTTGCACATAAAATTGCCGTCCAGTGATCCAGAACTTCCCTGGCAGACTCTGTCTGATCCTCAGACAAGTGTATGAATTCCTCGGTCGGCTATGAGATACTTTAGGAAGTTATTTGTCTACAGACATGTTAAATACAGCACCAATTTCCGCAAAGTATGAGAAATCTTGGCAGGGTATTTGGGCCGCGATACTGCGGGAAGCGTGGCTCTGCACAGCCTGAAATTTCCCGATGCGTTTTGAAGCAGCACTGCATCGCGCTGCCTCTCCAGGGTCAGCTAAAAGCTCGAGCGTGAATTGAAGTGCTTCTACTTTTGCACCACGACAACTGGAGCAAAGAAATTATTCTACCCCTGGCAGTAGTTCCCCTTTTTTTAAAACCAACCCCAAAAAACTCATCATACAGAATGAGAGCAAGAAAGACACCTTCAGACGGGCTGCGTGAAGGTCAGTCAGGGAACACGCCTGCGAAGCGGACAACAGATTTGCTGTTGGGAATAATTACTGAAATACAATAGCGATCTAATTACCGCTAAGTGATAAAACATTTATTTAGGACGAAGGAAACGCACCCCTTGCGTTCTGCTGCAGTCCAGCCTGTTTGGAGCAGGAGGCAAGTTGTTATGGGCAATCGCGGCAACGTTTAACACCAACCGATTTTGCAGAAATAGAGGAATTCATAACCACCTAGGCTAAGCTATACACAGCTCCCTGAGAGCCGGCCTAGGTCTCCGTAATTCAGGCTTCCTAGGGAAAATAAAAAAAATAAAATAAAAAAAAAAATCTAAATGAAGCTCACCCTCTGTGTTTTGAAAACAATTATTTGCAGCACAGGAGACCTTGAAAGCAAGTGTTTCACTCCAGTGACACTGGCTCATTCAGTTCTTTCCCATTTTCTTTTTTTAAAAAGACTGCTCGCTCATAGCAGAGCTGAATTCAGAGTGTCACTTAAAATAATCATGCTCATTTCCCCACAGCTGGTATTTTACCAAGAACTGCAATATTTGTAAACAACTAGTTACATCTACTGAACAACCACCTATTGCAGCATCACCGAATTATTGAGAGGCATGTCCAAACCCAAGCTTTATTTAATAAAACTCCTCTTTTCAGGCAGAAATGAAACAAAGGAAGGACACGAAGTGGTGGTGGTAGTTTATAATCCTGAAGAACTAATGTCATTTCTGCTCCCCCTCACCACCCAATATCTGCTCCCCTTAGCACACATCTACAAACTTATACCTTACTAACGAGAGCTAAATTTATATTTTTAAGGAATTTTCAACCCCACCAGGACAAGCAACCAAAAAGCCGGGGGGCTGCAGCAGAAGGCTGCCGGACACCGCAAGGGTCTCTGCCAGCCCGGGGAGGGCAGGAGGGGCTCTGGCTGCCATCTCCCACCCCAAGAGGCCACCAGAGCCCCGCTCTCCCCAGGGGAAGGATGGGACGAAGGGTCCGAACTGCAGCAAGGGCAACTCGGTTGAACATAAGGAAGAAAGTTTTCGCAACAGGGATGGTTGTGCAAGGGAGCAGGGCTGGAGCAACCGCGCAAGGCCCTGGGCAACCGGATCTGACATCGCACTTGGTCCCGGCCAGCAGACGGGGAGACGGGCTGACGGCCTCCAGGGTCCCGGCCGAGCCCAGCGCTTCTGCGACTCACGCTCTTCACGCCCGCTGCCCGACACCGAGCCCTGCCGCCGCCTCAGGCCTTCCAAATGCAGCCAACATTTAGTCACCAAGTTCAGCACATTTCTACACATCAGCATGTAACGCTGCATCTTTATTTAACGTTTTGGGGGGTTTTTGTTTTTAAACTGATTAAAATAGAGATTGCTAACTGACAAAGAAAGAATGGAAAAAAAGATAATATAAAATGAAAAATATCCAGAATACAGATCTAAAAGTGTCTGAAATTTTAGTTGCTGGTATGATCTCAGTAGGGGCGCTCCCGGAGACAGAAAGACATTACTCCAAATCAATTATCATCCCAGCACAACTGGATTTCTTTTCATTAATCGTGGCGCTTAACAACAGTGTCAGCTTTCCAAAGATGATCTGCTATTAATTCAACACAAGAATCACACTGCTGTACCCTTAAGCTTTGGATACCAGGCAGCCGAAGACAAAAATCGATCACTGCTCTTTGCAGAAGCAGATACTGCTGAAAGACGACACCGCACTAAACGTGTCCGTGCCAAAAAGCATTTGGCTTCCTTGTTTTATAGGGTTAGACTAAAATACGAACATTTGACAGAGAGTGAGATCACAAGCGTGGCAGAGAAGAGCCTTTTATGAGCAGGTCACCCTGCGGCGACAAGAAAGGCTTCACCGCGCATTTATTTTGGAACCTAAAGAGTTGCTTATAAGGACGAGCCGCAAGAGGTCCCTGGAGCCATTAACGGTCTACCATTTAGATACGCAGTCATCTTTTAGGAGCTGTATTAATTACACAAATGGAACGCCGCAGCTCCGCTGGAGCCGGTCCAGCCGACTGCAGAGCTGCAGGTCTGGGTAGCTGCAGAGGGCCGCCGGCGCTGGGAGGACCGCTCCCCGTCCAGCCCGCCGCGCGGCGAAGGGCAGAAGCCCTCTGCGGAAAACTCGCAAGCGCTGCCTGGTATAAAGTCACGTTTAGAAAAGTATAAGAACATCGGTATTGTGCGTGAGAACAGAAAAAGATGTGGAATTGGGGGGTCCAACGGTAGAGAATGCCATCAATTGTGAAAAACAAATATGCCCTTCGATTTTGATTTTTAAAGGAGGTTGCTACCTCAGTAATAGTGTTACCCTTTCAGCACTGGAAAGCAAAAGTCCAGCCGCACGCGGTACCGTGCAAGCCAGGACAGTCCTCACCCAAAGCACAAGCAGCCCAGATGAGCAAGACGACGGCTACGGGCAGGGCACTGCAAGGAGCCAAGGCAACAACTTGCCACTGCGGGGCAACATCAGCAACAGCCAGCGGCCGCAGCGTACCGGATCCTCCTCTGCAG